AGAACTAATGATGTAATGTATGGGGATTAACATAAGAATAAAAAAAAATGAAAACAAACAAAAAAAAAAGAAATCTGAAGTTGACTTTATACCTGTATATTGAGAAAAATATAACATTTATATTCCTTATATTTATCTATTCTATATGCTCTTACCCTGATTGGATTTGGGAGAGACCCTGGTCCTACTGGCAACTCATTTATAAACCATTCCTTAGAATAGCACATTTTTACAAAATGATCCATCTTACCCAGGATTTTACTTTCCTCCACTACTAATTTCAGAGGATTCTCCCAGAGGCTTTGCTGTTCTCTCTTCATTCTACAATTTGGCTTCAGCATTTCTACCCTCTGCACACTTTCTATGGAAGATAATAACCACTTATACAACTTCAACCTACCATATAATTAAAACCTCCAAATGTATTTCTAGACCAAATCTTGCTTGTGAGCTCTAGACACACTTTCTTACCTTCTTACTGGACATCTTCACTTGATATCCCATTGATATCTCAAACATGGCCATTTAACTCATCGTCTTTCTCTTCAAATCTTTGTTGTTGTTGTTGCTGTTGCCTGAATTGTCTACCCTGTTTAGCAGCACCACCATGTCCCTAGTTGCTCATGCTAATAGTTTTGGCGTCACCTTAACTTTCTCCCCTTTCCTTATGTCCTTGGTATTTCTATAATGTAATTGTTTCAAGTCCTATAGATTCTGTTCTCTACACATCTTCCAAGTCTTCCTTTCTCTGATCTTCCTGCTACTGCCTTTAGTTTAGTTCACCACACATTTCATTACTTTTTAAGTTCCAGTCACTATTCTGAATGCTGGAGATAAGGAATAAATAAAGTACTTCCTAAGGCCTAGAACTCACGTTTTAGTCAGGAAGACAAACATATCATTTCATTTACATAATTGGGTAAATGTTAAGATAGAGCTATAGACAGGGGACTATGAGAAATCAAAGAGAGAATGCTCCTCCTAAACTAGCAATTTCTGGAAGGAAGAATCTTGAACTGAGCAAGGGTGATATGGAGTAACAGATCAAACTAAGATGGAAAACATTATATGGAGAAAGAACTGCCTTAGCAAAGGTGTGAATGGTGGTAGTGAAGTAGGAAATGTTAAAGATTGAGGCTAGAAAGGTTAAGTGGAAACCAAATCATGTAGCTGGACTTAATTAAGGAGTCTGGACTTAATTAAGGAATCTGGACTTAATCTTGTAAGATTGCAGTTTCAAACTGGGATAAACAAAGCCCCTCCTCATTTGGTGAATGGTGGGGGAAAGGGGACAGAAGGCCAACTGTGCTTTATGGCTTTGGTTCTGATACCTACTTCAATCAGAGCAGCTCAGCCAACTTTCACACCATCGCTTGCAAATATTTCCCTTAACTAAAGGGGTTGGGTGCTTATCAAAACCATACAAATAAAGAGCTTAGAGAAGATACCTTTGGCTTGGAAAGCATGAGGACTGAACAGTTTAAGAACTCTGCTCTGAAGACAAAGCACAGGATGAGACATTATTATTATTTCTGCATGGTTTTATGGCTTTTTCACGGTTCATATCCAATCAGTACTCTGCACAAAAAATAGGTCATAGGAATCTACTGTGAACACTTGCTTTCCATCAAGCTCAAAGAACCTTCAGAGGGCTTGTTATCACAGCTTAAGATTTATCCTTTAAGGTCTATTTTACCATGAAAAACACTGTTTTTGCTCCCTTTCCTTACCTCAACTGTGGGAGAAAACCAAATTAAGCACTTATTGTTTGGCTCTGAGACAGATGTCAGTTTATTTGGGAGGCAGTAGGCGGAGGAGGAATGACTTATCTTCTTACCCCCATTAAAGTACTCTAGATCCAAGCACTGTGTTAAGACTTACATGACTGGCCAAAGAGAGTCACTGGCTCCTCTTGGGTGGAAGACTGGCTCTTCTGCGAACAGTTAGAGTTGTCCTCCAGGGAAAGCTGGAGTAGTAACAGCAACAATTAATATTTAATTGAGGGCTTCATATGTTTCAGGCACTTTAAGTGCGTTAACTCATTTAATCCTTACAACAAAGCTAAGATACAGGTACTGTGTGATCCTCATTTTGTGGATGAGGAAATTCAGGTACAGAATTTAAAGAATTTAAAACATTCAAGATACCTAGATGGAAGAGGCAGGGCTAGAATTTAAATTCAGACTGTCTGACTCCAGTATTTGATCTCACAATCACTGAGCTATAGTATGTTTTTAAGTGGGTCTTAAGGCGAGTCCTTTAAGGCAGAGGATGTAAAAGGCCAATCCCAAAAAGCCTAGCCTATGACCAGGGCTTAGTTTGTTTTTTTTTGTTGTTTTTTTTTTTTTTTTTAGAAATTTTATTTATTTATTTGGCAGAGAGACACAACGAGAGAGGGAATACAAGCAGGGGGAGCGGGAGTGGGAGAGGCTGGCTTCCCGCCGAGTTGGGAGCCTGATGCGGGGGCTCGATGCGGAGCTCGATGCGGGGCTCAATGCGGGGCTCAATCCCGTGTTCAAGCCTCGGCTCGATCCCAGGACCCTGGGATCACGAACTGAGCTGAAGGCAGACGCTTAACGACTGAGCCACCCAGGCGCCCCAGGGCTTAGATTTTTTAAAGTCAATTTGTCTCACCTCTACCTTTTGAAAGGAAAGCCTGTACCTTGATGGTCCAGTTCCTCCAAGATTGCTACAAAAGAAATTGGGGCAGTGTCCTTATCAGTTCATTTACATCTAAGGGTCAATCTTAAGTGGCTCAACTATTTTATTTTGCCCAGGGTGGACAATATAAGTAAACATTCTTATGGCTTTTTGTCTCTAAGGACACCAGATGATCTTCAGTTCATTTACTCAAATAATACATTCTAAACCAAACCACTTCTGTGTATAAACGTACACATTCAACATGACCCTTTCCTAAGGAAAGACGACTATATTTTTTATTAGGATTTAGGAAATTTTTGACACAAACAACTAAGAAAAAAAGTTTGTAAAATACAGCTACAGGTTTTGGGGAGCCAGTGAATGGGAAATTGGCATTTTAGGATCATTCTAGCTACAGCATAAAAGATGAATATAAGGAGTGTGTAACTGAAGGCTGGATGATGAAAAGGTCATTAAAACAGACAAGGTGAAAGATTAAAAGAACATGAACACAGACAATGGTAATAAGCATTGAGAAGAGAAGGCAGATTAAAAAAAATTAGTGAGTAAAACGAGGTAAAACTTGGTAAATACTGATGATTGTTTTCCTTTTGTCCTACTGAACCATTTTCTACCTTTCTTTGCTCTATTCTGTGCTTTGGAGGGTGTGACTCTACCCAAGTTCCCTTACTGGCTGGCATCTTATCGAGGGCTGGAAGGCAGTGGGAGGCAAGGACAGCAGGAGAAAAAGGTCAGGGAATTCTCCTCTACTTGCAGTACACCTCCATTCCAGTGGCCCCTCTTCCAGAGCTACAGCCCTTTCTGGGTTCCAGTAACACAGTCCTCTTATTTTGCTTCCTCGGGACAGGGGGTGGTAATAGCTTCCAGCTATTGCTGTTCTGTGGGTACCTCACAAGCTGCGTTTAGGCCCTTAACTTCTTCCACCTCAATAAAATGTCCTTTGGTTAAGCTCTCTAGAATTAAGCCCTTTGAATCTTTTTCCTGCAGAGACCTGACTAGTCATGATTGATGGGGAATAAGGAGAAAAGTACAGAGAATTGAGGTGACGCTGGGGTTTAGATTCTTTGCTCCCTAATGGATTTTAGCATTTTCCTGAATGCTCTATGAGGACATGCTCTGTTCAGACTACTTGGAGTCTGTCCCAGCACCAACACCTTGGCAGGCATCTCTAGCAGGGGCTTCAGGCAGGTTCTCCAGAACCAAGCATGGTGCTTGGTGCACAGTGGCACTCAATAAGTGAATCTTCTCTTATCTTGTCTCTGAAACTCTGAAACTCTTGTCACATTATTACAGGTCCTTGTGCACACAGATCCTGAATTTAGCACTGATCTAGTTATTATTAGAGTTTTATATTTAACTTTGAATTCTAGATTTTGAAATGTACACAGGACAATAGAAAGGGGCTATTATAAAACAACAACAACTAAATAATCCTAACTGTAGTAAAATAAAAAAGATTGAAGACACTGGGAAAATTAAGCATGGGGAATGTATCAATGCAAATTTCAGTGCCCAAGCAGTTGGTCCTGGTGGTAGTGTTTTGTTGATCCAGTTATATATTTTTTTTCTCCAACAAGTAATTCAATATGATGAACATTCTATTCTTCATCACATAGCAATCACTTCAAAAGAATTTAGAGAATCTTCACAATTCTTGTTAAGCCATAAACAAATTATATTTCTACTCCCTACATTCCCTTACACTTTATACTACAATACCTTAAATACTTCAAATATATCAGATATAATAGAAGCCTGTACCATACTCCCCACCCCTATCATGCACTTTAGACTCAACTCAGAGAGCTTTTTAAAAGTAGTCATGTCCAGGGGTGCCTGGGTGGCTCAGTTGGTTGAGCATCTGCCTTTGGCTCAGGTCATGATCCTGGGGTCCTAGGATGGAGCCCCACATCAGGCTTCCTGCTCTGCGGGGAGCCTACTTCTCCCTCTCCCTCTGCCTGACACTCCCCCTGCTTGTGGTGCTCTCTCTCTCTCTCAAGTAAATAAATAAAATCTTTAAAAAAAGTACTCATATCCAGACCCTCCCTCTGCCGCCCCAAGCCAATTGAATCAGTATCTCCAGGTCCAAGGACTAGACATTGATACTGTTTAAGAGCTCCCCAGATGATCCTAAAATGCACAGAGTTCAAAACAAGGCTCCAAACCACAAAAGAAAACAAACTAAATGACCCAAAAAGGTATGAATCTCCACAGAAAGTATAAACACAAGATACTTGTACCCAGCAAGCTATTTATCACTTGTTAATGAACTTCCTGTGAGCCTTTTTTTTCCCACTGTTAACCTTCAACTTTTGCACATTGGAAAGTTGACTGAGAGCCTTTCAGTTGGTTTTGCTTCCTAGTTCGGCATGTGTGGTTTGTTGACAAGCCGCCCAGAACGTGGTAAAAGACAACCTCAATTAAACCTGCCTCTGAGTCAGCAGTGGTTTTCTAATTAGTCGGGTTTTTCTTGGAACCCTGAAAGATGGTGAACTCGAACCCGTAAGTGAAGGAATCAAATAGACTCTCAAAGGTAATTAAAGATTATAGTTTTGATTGTGAGGTGGAAGTGGGAAGAACGCAATTGTGAACAAAGGAGCAATACCTTCAATATTTTTTCTTTTTTAAAGAAAACTTTGATTTTCTTAAACTAAATATGAAATCCACATTTTACATTTGTTTTGCAACATGCTTTTGGGTTCTTTGTAATGGAATATAGCACTCTTTAAAAAAGGACTGAAAAGGATTAGACTAGTTGGACTAGAACGCACTTTTTTTTTTTTTAATTAAAGTTCAGAGGCCTTTTTGTGTTCTACTACATCCTACAGGGACTAGCATTTTAGTCTTGATAGGGAAATATATAGTTATATCTTAAATTGTTTAGTACAAAAAGTAGCAAATTCAGATGGGGAGAGAAATAAGGACCTCAGTGATTGGGAAAATCTACAAAACCCGGTAGTGGGGAATGTACTTTCCATTAAAATTAAAAAAAATTTTTTTTGAGTTCTTACTTTGAGCTGGACTCTGCTAGGGGCAAAGGTTACAAAATTGGTTAACAATAGTTACTGCCTTTGAGGAACTTTCGGACTAGGAGAGCAGGTTACAATCTAGTGACCTGGACTCCGAAGAATTGATTAGGATTTACTTTGGTAGGTGCTCAAAGGAAGGGTGGTTCAGATAATCACATCAATAGAGAAGGCAGAGACTTGGAGGAGCCCCCAACGTTTGTTAGTTTCATATGCAAATGTTCTATTTGCTGTTTTTTGTTAAGTAAATTACTCACCACTGACATGTTTGAAAATGGGGACAAAAATGACTGCTTTCATGCGTAATTCCTACCTTGCCCCCCCTTAAAAGTTTTAAATCCATCTCTTAGGGGCCACACTTGAAGGTAGAAAAACGTTTTCTATATATTAATATAATCACTATATAGCGGTGATACATGGGACAGTGAAATAAACCCTAAGTCGTTTTAAAATAAGTGAGGTAACTTGGGTTTGAGCCACGCCTCTGCCACTAACCGGTTGTGTGATATTGGGCAAGTAACTTCTCAGGGTGTCCTCTTTTCCATCTTTAAGATTGTGATTTAAAAAGGCCCACCTCACGGGGTTTTGTGAGGGTGATTTAAAATAATGCCTGTGAAAGCATTTGCTCTACCACACCTAAGGTACGTTTGTTATCTCGGGGTTCTTTCCAGTCTCGCCATTTTGATATCTGATGAATCAGGATCCAGAGGTCTTAAGTATCACCACAAACGCCCGCCCTTCTCTCCTCATAGCCATCCAGGTCCCTCAAGGTCGGGTGCAGCTTCGAGCCGACTGGGTCTGCATTGTGAGGTCTAGCAGTCGAAGTCACATGGTCCTGACCACCAGGAAAGAGAAAGAAAAGTTCGGTTTCAGCACGGGGGAGCGGGGAGAGAGGGAGGAGACTGGGAGAGGAAAGCGACAGTAAAAGAGACCGTCAGAGACCGTACCCTTCCGCACGCGCATTGTCCGCCCTGCGCCTGCCTTCCTACGGGAGGGGGCGGACCGCGACGTGCCCACGTCGGGCGCACTGACGTTCGCTTGGCGTGCGCCGCCGGCCAGTGCCGGTAGTTGCGGAGCTCGGAGTCGGTGTCTGTGGAGCCCGACTGGCGGGGAGGAGGCGGGGCTTCTGTCTGGCGGAGGTGGACGCGCACACACGCCGCAGAGGGTAACTTTCCTGTACCGGCTCTCGTGCTCTCTTTAAGTCACTTGGAAGTGTGGCCATTGGGACAGTTTTGTCGTTCCGTTTAGAAAACGTCTTTTCTTTGGTTATACAAGGGCAGGTTTCAGGGCGGTGGCTCTGTCATGCCGAACTCGCGGCCCAGGCCCCGTCGGGGTGCCCGGAGTGGCGCCGGGGCAGCCGGGCGGGACGAGCTCGTGTCGCGGTCCTTGCAGAGCGCAGAGCACTGCCTGGGCGCCCAGGACTTCGGCACGGCCTATGCCCACTACCTCCTGGTACTCAGCCTGGCACCGGAGCTGAAAGACGACGTGAAGGTGAGGAGGAGGTCCCTTCTTTCACTTGCTAGCAGATCTTCTGTTCTTCACGTAAAATAAACAAATTGGGGGAGGTGGGTGGCTGAGATAGGTGGCACGTTGGTCGCTATTAATATTTACTGCTCATCCTTGACTTCTCTTTTGTTCACACCCACAGTCAGCCTATCAGAAAATCCTGTCGGCTCCATCTTTGAGATATATCCAGAATTTTACCACTTCTCACCACCTTCTCCTTTACTGCCCTGGTTAAAGCCTCAATCATCTGTTGGCTGTTGCAGTAGGCTCATAACTGGCTTTCCCTTGTAGCCTGTCTCAACACAGCCTGCGTGAGCATTTCGTAACAAGTCAAACGATGTGACTTCTCTTTTTCAAAACTTCCATTTTACTATAAACGCTGTATTGCAAACGAGGCCGCCGGTGATCCTCTCCCTCCTCTCATATCTAATTCTAGCATGTCCCTGCCTCAGGACCTTTGCCCTTGTCCCAACTGTAGGCAGAAGGAACGTTGTGCGTATCTGCAGTTGAATAAAGTTTGGAAGTAGCCTAATCATTTGATAATGGATTCTTTGAGCTTCAACTACTGGATTGTGATGGCTATTCTGTTTAAATGCTATAAATTTTTTCAAGTTATTTCAGAATCTAAATTTAATAAAATGATTTCACTTAATTTTGCATTCAGTGTTCAGCCTCAAGCTACTTGCTTTATTTCACCCAGCGTTTCTCAACGTTAGCGTTACTGACTTTTTGGATGGGATGATTCTTTGTTTTGGAGAGCTGTCCTGTGCATTGTAGAATGTTTAGCAGCATTGTTGATCTCCTCTACCTGCTGGATGTCAGTAACATCTAGATGTTTGTGGTTAACGTAAATTTAGTGTAAATTTCAGGAGCAGCTGGCCCCAAGGAGGAGAAGGTGCTATGTTAAGATACAGTTTGCTCTTATAGGTAGGCCGCAGAATAATGGATCAACCCAAGTGTGGTTTCTTTATTTCATAGTTCCTTAGTTCCTCCTTTGTAAAACAGTGACAGTACCTTTTTTATACATGTTTAGTGTACATCAAAAGTATATCTAAAGCTTGTATTTGAATACCTTGTGTTCAGTAGGGTTCAGAAACTACTTCTGTTTCCTGCAGACCAGAGTCCGTATTTCTTTGTGTGGGCCTTAGCAAAAGATCTTTTTAGTCTTATTTCCTACTACTCACTCTATTCCCCATGCCCACACTTCAACCACACCAAGATAGTTACCTATAAATTCCCTGACCCAGTTCATGTCATCTGTGCTTTTTTCCCCCTGATACTGTAGAATCTTCTCCCATATCCTTTTCTCTCTAGTAAACGCCATCAAAATTCAGTTACAGTCTGAAGTACAATTTTTATACTCTTCTGTGTAAATCTGTGAAGATGATATAAAATGTGTTCACCATAAAACTGGAATGACTAAAGCCGTCCTTCTTTCTACGGTGTTGTGGTGTGGAGAATGGCTGGAGGGAGGTGAGATTGGAGCTAGGGAATGCTGTTACTGTTGTCCAGCAAGTATTAGGAGGGCCAAACTACATTGTAACAGTGGGGATGAAGAGACGGTGACGGATTTCAAGATGTTGAGATAGAATTGGCTGGGTTTAAAACTAATTGCATTGGAGTTAAAGTAGCGTTATAAAATGACTTAGTGGTTTGAGGTTGGGTGGTACCTTAACCTTATATCCTGTGTGAGAGGAATGTAGTAGGTTCACTTTAGAGCATTTTGAATTTTTTCAAAATTGTATGTTAAATTTCTCCCAACAAGTCTTCTGTGAGGATAGGAACAGGATTTATGTTGTTCATTGCTGTGTTTTAGCTCCAGTTCTTTGCACACTGATTGTTCAGGAAATACTTGAATTGAGCTGAATTTGAGATGGATGAAGGTACAGTTCCTTGTTAAGATGACTGATAGCAAGTTGTGTGTGTGTCAGGTTCAGAAGAGGAGAAGGTATTGATTGGAGATGTAGATGTAGCATCATCCATCAATGCATGGGTGATAGTTAATGCACCGGAGATGGATGGGAAAGGAGAAGGCGGCCAAAAACAACTCCTAAAGCATAGGAGCCCACAAAAGAGAGGATAGGTAGAGAATGTGATGTGGTAGCTAAGAATGGAGAGAGTTTACTTCTGCATGTTATTGCCACACAGGTGGTAAAATTCATTTATGCATTTGTTTATTAAGCAAACTGTCTACTAAAGCTAAATAAAATTTAAGTTAATCAGTTAATAATTGTTAAGTTCTATTCTCTGTGGAATCATCAAACATTGTTGTATGTTCTTTATGTTATTGACTAAATTACTGTTTTCTCTTTCACGTAGGAAACTTTTCAGTATACACTGTTCAGATGGGCTGAAGAGCTTGATGCTCTCAGTCGAACACAAGACTTACTTGGTTGTTATGAGCAAGCTTTGGAACTGTTTCCTGATGATGAAGTGATTTGCAATAGTATGGGGGAGCATCTCTTCAGGTTTGTAGTGATTTTCAGTATTGTTAAGAATTATTCTGTATCAGTCTTGATCAGGGATAAATCACACAGTAGTTTGAAAAGGAAAGTTTAATATAAAGAATTATTAACTGTGACCGGGGATCAGAAGAATATAAGAATAGCAAATACAGTATGTAATAACAGATTAATTTTAGTATTATATTGTATACCACAAAGTATCTAAGGAAGAGTTCCCCTCACTGGGCTAAAATTGAAACCTTGTTGGACAGGACATAGGTGTGGATTGCAGGATGGCAGTGAAGTAAGTCACTGTGGTACCTTGCCAGGGAACTTGTGAATCCGGTCTCTGGATCTGGCTGGAAACTTGCCTTGGAAATTCTGTCCATTCTCCATAGAAACTGTATAATTAGGAAAACATGAAAACTCCAAATTTTTGTTGTAGATTTGTTTTAATAAATTTGGTTTCACTTCTTTGTACAAAATAGAAGGAGACTTCTTGTTTAAGAAACACCATGATAATGTCCTATTCTATATAGTGAGATCATTTTACATGTTCCAGCTCTTGTCCTCTAGTATTACTGCTTTGTTCATCTAGTCATGTTAGGTTTTATTCAATGAAAAGTTCTATATAAGAAGTACCTTTATCAAAATGAATTAGGCTCAGTGATGTAGCTGTATACAGTTTAATAGTCTTAATCAACATGGCTTGGGGGAATGAAATAAGTACTCCTTTAAGAGACAAATATTTGATAGTTTCTAATTGTGGAGTATGATAATAACCAGGAGAATGAGGCAGATTGTCAACTGAGGCTTGTTTGCTCACACTAACAGCTAACCTGATCCTGGTACACAGATTCCATCTCTACTAATTAGCAATTACTTGCCCTTTAAATGAAATTTAATTTAAAAAGCTTTTTAAATAATTTGTCACATTAGTTAAAAATCTACATTTTAATTTCAAAATTTTCTTTAGTTCTTCAGTCCATATAAGGGGAGTTAGTCTATAGGATTCAATTATATTTCCAGATAATATGACATAATGATCATAACATTCTAAAACTTATGTTTAAGTATAAACTCAATTCAACAGAAAATTGGAGCTCTACACACTTTTGACAGGTTGTAACTTGGTAACCTATTGTTATATTAGTCTGAGCAGTTACCAGATACTGAGACAAAAAAATGCTTGTTTGCTTCAGGAGGTGTAATTATGCAAAATTTCTAATTTAGACATTGAAAATTCAGAACTTGTGATAGTGTGAATGTGGCTTTTGCTATACAGTTTGTCTTTGTTCTCCACAACAGTGGTTCTTAGCTTTTGTCCTCTCTACTTTTCTCATCAAAAGCAGATACAAAACATATTTAAGTTGCTAATTGGGAAGGTAATTTTTTTTTCTAGTTAAAAGAAGAAAGGTGATTTTATAGTTTGTTGATACTGACACACTTGTTGAGTCTATCAATATGAGATAAACTTTAATTGAGTGGACCATATATCTTTCAGATTATCATTACGGTTTAAGAAAACTGAATGATATATTAAGAATCAAACTTAAGGGAAGCACAAACCCCAGAAAATTATTAGGGGCAGGTTTGGCATTGATTCAGCAGATTGTTGATATTTAAACATTTTAAAATATCCATTGCTAGGTTTGTCTCACCAACTGATGATTATGTAAAATGTGTTTTTAAAAAAATTTTTTTTTTTTTAAGATTTTATTTATTTGTTTGACAGAGACACAGCGAGAGAGGGAACACAAGCAGGGGGAGTAGGAGAGGGAGAAGCAGCTTCCCGCTGAGCAGGGAGCCCGATGTGGGGCTGGATCCCAGGACCTTGGGATCATGACCTGAGCTGAAGGCAGACGCTTAACGACTGAGCCACCGAGGTGCCCCTAAGATGTGTTTTGTATTGTATTGTGTGCAATGTCAGTTGCAGAATAAGAGTAAGATAATCCTGTCTTCAAGATACTTAAAAATAACAGATACTAACCTTAAACATTTTTTTTTTTTAACCTAAAACACAAGTGCCTATCATTTGACATAGGGCCATTACCTTTTGTTAGAGTGTAGTTCCCTGTTTGGAGTTCCAGAATGTCTTTTTTTTTTTTATGTAAACCATACCTAGAATGAATAGTCTAATTTGGTTTCAAATGCTTAAAGGTTCGGGGCACCTGGGTGGCTCAGTTGTTAAGCGTCTGCCTGTGGCTCAGGTCATGATCCCAGGGTCCTGGGATCCAACCCTGCATTGGGCTCCCTGCTCAGCAGGAAGCCTGCTTCTCCCTCTCCTACTCTCCCTGCTGTGTTCCCTCTCTCGCTGTGTCTCTCTCTGTCAAATAAATAAATAAAATCTTAAAAAAAAAAAATTCTTAAAGGTTCTTGTGAAGAAGTATGAGTGTTAAAGGGTTTTACTAGCTCATGTCTCTTCAATTTGTGGACCACACACTGGGGCAGGTCCACAAATTATCAGTTAGTAACAGATAGGTGTAGAAATTGAGAGTAAGCATTTAGAAATGTATATAGCAGTTTGATATTTTAAATCCAAGCATGTGATCAGGGAGCTCACTTGTGGAAGGGAATGTGGACCAGTTTGGGTGCTGCTGAAATCTGATGTGTGAGTTGCATGCTAATCACATGCAGTAGAATTGTATTGGTCTACAAATATTTAGATATTTTAAAAAAGGGGAGATGAGTTCTTCACCACAGAAAGTTCAAGAAGTTCTAGATAGTTGGTTGTTTTCCCCCTTTTTATTGTTGATTTGCTAACATCTCATTCAGTAGTAATTTTTGGGTGACTCACCTTTGATTTTTGCCAAAGCGTTTAGCTTAATATCCTCAAACAACAGCTCTCTCTTTGCAGTTTTATTTATTTAGTTTCTATAATATTTAATTAAAATATGTAATTATAATAACAAGTACAACAGGTATAAACTGGTCTGGCAGCAAACACAACTGATAATTCACTCAGTTACTGAGAGAAAAGGTATAGAGGCACACCACAGAGAAGCCTACTAGTTATAGGCATTAGTATGTTTTACACAGGGAATGATTTTTAGAAAGCACTGGCTTTCTAGTGAGTTGGTTAAATGCAGGATGACTCAGAGCTCCTGCTATTCTTTAGTACAACAGTAATTTATAGTCAGCCTCCTAGAATACATAAATACAATAAGGGTTCAAAAAGGAAAAAAAAAATCATCAAGGATTGTAATCCTCACAAAAGGCTTCTCAAAGGTGATGGTGCTTGGGTTGAGCAGGATTTGGGGTGCTGGAGAGAGAGATTCTCAGGCCTGATGAGTGGCATGAACAAAGACACAGTAATTGATATCATAATAATTGAATATTTTGTCTGTCATTTTTACTGTAGAATGGGCTTTAGAGATGAAGCAGCTGGGTATTTTCATAAAGCAGTGAAGCTAAATCCTGATTTCAGTGATGCAAAGGAGAATTTTTATCGTGTTGCAAACTGGTTAGTGGAACGCTGGCACTTTATCATGCTTAATGACACCAAAAGGAATATGATTTATAACGCAGCAATCCAAAATGCAGTTTGTTTGGGGTCCAAGAGTGTTTTGGACATTGGAGCAGGAACTGGAATTCTAAGGTTTGTTGTAATTGTGTTTTAATTATATGCACATATATACTAAGGTAAATTAAAGCTTTTTACCAAATATGGAAAATTTAACAGTGGAATTTAAAAATAGAGCTTATTTCTCATAATCTTGTGATTATTCATGCAACTACCTTTATTGTATTTTTCACTGTAACTTTAATTTAGCAAGAGCTAGACATAACTACTAAGAATTTGGGGTTACTATTGAAATTTTGAATAATGCCTTTTAAGAGTACTTTTTGCATTAACATTCTGGTTGAATCTAGTTGTCTAAATTAAAGCCTATCAACATTTTCCATGCCCATTGTGTCTTCTTAAAAACACGAATGTCATGATTTATTGTATGATTTGTTTCTTGATACGAATATTGGTTCATTTTTTTAATGTGGAATGAATAATGGTTGTGTTAGTTAAAGAGTAAAAGGAGAACCCCATGTCTAAGCATCATAATTCCACTAAAATTTGAAATACTACAGTGAATTATTTTTTCTTGATGGAGCACTTTTTTCCCCTTGCAGCATGTTTGCTAAAAAAGCTGGAGCACACTCGGTATATGCTTGCGAGTTATCCAAGACCATGTATGAACTTGCCTGTGATGTAGTGGCAGCAAACAAGATGGAAGCAGGAATCAAACTCTTACATATGAAGTCACTTGACATAGAAATTCCTAAACACATTCCTGAAAGGTACTATATAATATTTATATAATTTTAGTTTTTATAATTTTTTAAAATTAAGATATTCCTGTTTAGAGCTTCTAGCCCAAATAAAAAGCTAAAACCCTGATATTGTAAAGATAGTAATATAGGCTCATTTAGCATAAGATGGATTTTCATAATAAGGTCATATTCTTGATAAATGTTTAGAGATCTTGAAAGAAACTGGTGTTAAGAGATTTACTAAATAAACTTGACCTTTAGCAAGTTACTTTACTTTTGTTAATTTCAGTATTCTGGTTGCGAAAATGGATACTACCTCCTGTGTGGTCACTATTTAAAAATTGTAGTTAAAAATAATACATGAGGAGATCAGGCTTGATGGACTTGTCATATTTTGTGTTAGCCTTGGCTAAAATGAAAGCTGTCGAAGTATTTTGGCCTGGGTTCTTCAAATGCTTTGAATATTATAAGTCTTGGCTTTTTAGTATATCATCTTGCTTTAATCTATATCACAAGGGTGATGGAATTTTAGAGCTAGAATGGATTTACAAATCATCTGGCCCAACACTATCATTTTAGAGACAGTTTTCTTAATGTAGCACTTTCTTTACTACCTCTCCTGGGTGGTCTGTCTTCTCATCTTACTTAAATTCAATTTATATTGAAAGAGGACTTTTATACTCTGTTGTCATTTGGACTGTGATTTTTTTTTTTTAAAGATTTTATTTATTTATTTGAGAGAGAGAGAATGAGAGAGAGCGAGTACATGAGAGGGGGGAGGGGCAGAGGGAGAAGCAGACTCCCCGCTGTGCAGGGAGCCCGATGCGGGACTCGATCCCGAGACTCCAGGATCATGACCTGAGCCGAAGGCAGTCGCTTAACCGACTGAGCCACCCAGGCGCCCCAGGACTGTGATTTTTTAAAAGTGTTCTTCCATATGTATAGTAATATTTGTTTACATAATACTTATGCTTTTCAATGGGCTCTACATTGATTTTCATGAAAGAAGTCTTACTAGATTTTTGAGGCAGAGAGACACATTTTATAGAAATAAAACAGTGTCCTGAATTATCATAGTCCGCTCAGGCTGCCATTACAAAATACCACAGACTAGGTGGCTTAAACAACAGACATTTATTTTCTCGCAGTTCTGGAGGCTAGAAGTTCATGATCAAGGGTGCTGGCAGATTTGGTTTCTGGTGAGAGCTCTCTTCCTAGCTTACAGACAGCTACATTCCTGCCCTTTCCTCTGTGCATGCGAGGAGAAAGAGAGATTGCCTGTGTCTTTTCCACTTTTATAAGGCTACCAGCCCTGTCACATTAGGGCCCCACCATTATGACCTCGTTTAACTTTAATTACCTCCTAAAGACCCTAGCTCCAAATGTAGTCACTTTGGGGGTTAGGGCTTTAACTTATGAATTTCAGTGGTACACAATTCAGTCCATGTCATGAATCAGTTACCTTGATTTAACCTTCATTTCTCTCACAGATAGTGTTATAGAAGGACCTATGGGTTTTGAATTAGGAGATAGGGATTCCAATACTATGTTTTTAATTTATTTTGACCTTGAGCAAATCTAGAGATTTCAAGATGTTGGACTAGATGATTGAGATACTTCCACATTCTAAATGTATGCAACCATAAATATTGAAAATTTTGTGTATTTATATAGTATTGGGTTTAGGCATTATGGGGGATACCAAAGTTTTTTCTGTCCTCAAGCCACCTATAATCTAGAGAGGAAGAAAAGGAATATTCATGAAACTTTTCTTTATCTTCTAATTACCTAAATAAATGATACTGGCAATAAGTGCTAAAGAAGTTCAGAGAAGGGAGAAATTATTTTGATATGTCTTTGGGTAAAATTTTCTAGAAAGAATTGTCAGAAGATCACACCTCTGTGGACTTAAGCTTTTGTGAAAACTCAAAGGTAGTAGGTAAAGCAAGAGAAGCAACAAGAGAGCTACAATGAATGTGTAAGACGTAAACATGGATAATGAAGGGAGAGAAAGGATTTTGAGAGGGAGGTCTTCTCAGGTACATTACATGTTATTTGTAGATTAAGGAAAGTGAGAACTGAGAACAATTATTCATCTTGACAAGGAGAGGAGTTATTTATGATAGAGAATATTTTTATAGAGCACTGGGGATAGAAATCCATTTACTCAGCATTAAGGAGGGGACTGGTAAAGGTAATGGGTATGAAGCACTCTTAAGGATTTAGGCAGTGAAAGAATAGCCTGATGAGGCCCCAGGGTCATGTGAAGATTGTGTGTCTCCCAGACATACACACTGGCCGGAGGGTGCCAGTGGAGAACAGAGGAGCCTGTGGAACAGTAGAGTCAAGTTCCTTAAGATTTGAGGGTAGATATTAAAAAAGTGAAATGTATGAGAAAATGTTATATGTGGACTGTTTCTATAATACACTTTTCCTTTGTTCTCTCAGCTTTGACATCTTTACTTAAATAGCATGATATTTTACTTACATGTATCTTTAAAAAATCGTTCTATAGAGTGTCCCTAGTTGTAACAGAAACTGTCGATGCAGGTTTATTTGGAGAAGGAATTGTGGAGAGTTTAATTCATGCATGGGAGCATTTACTTTTGCAGCCAAAGGTAAGCAGCATGATAACAGTTAAATTTGATTAAGAATTCATTATTTCAGCAGGTATTTATTGAGCCCCTCCTGTACTTGCAAAGCAGTATGAAATACATCCTCCTCTCAAGGTACATACTGTGTAGTTGGAAAGAAATCTGTGCAAAAAGCCGTTTAATCATGTAATGTAATGTATTTGTATATGGGGTATATAGACAAAGAAAACTCCAGGAAGGAATTCATAGTATTTGAGGTTACATTGTGGGACAGATAGTATGGAATTCTTGAGTAGGGTTGAGGAAGGGGGAAGTACTTTCAGTCTCAGTAGCCTTCACTGCTTAGATTTTTGGCAAACTATCAAGGGGGAGTGTAGTGATAACTGGCTTGGTATGGTTTTAAGGTACCAACTGATTGGACAGGAATAACTGTTTAAATTGCTAAATTGTGTTTTCCAATGAAATCCTCTAATGTGGCCCATGAATTGTAGATTTGGTTTTTATAATATGTCATGTGAATGAGTCTTTTAACATGTCATAAGAATTTACTGTTTACAGGAAATGATTTGAATTAAAAGTACCTAATTAAAGGCTGAAAAGAAGAGTAGTTTGTTTTTCAAGCAGGTAATAGTGATTTTGGCTTCTCAGTTAGAGTCATACCCAACAGTTTTTTGTTGTATACAGATTTATGGTTGCCCTCCTCTTCCTATTTGTACTGTTGAAAAAAATATGTATCCACACACACACACACACACACAGCAATGAAAGTGAAATAAACTTTAAAAAAATAATAAAAGGGCGCCTGGGTGGCTCAGTCGTTGAGCATCTGCCTTCGGCTCAGGTCATGATCCCGGGGTCCTGGGATCGAGTCCCGCATCGGGCTCCCTGCTCGGCGGGAGGCCTGCTTCTCCCTCTCCCACTCCCCCTGCTTGTGTTCCTGCTCTCACTATCTCTCTCTCTGTCAAATAAATAAATAAAAATCTTTAAAAAAAAAAAAATAATAAAATTAGTATTAACTTGGCATCACATTCATTGTTCTCCATTTTTTTTTTTTTTAAAGATTTTATTTATTTATTTGAGAGAGAATGAGATAGAGAGCATGAGAGGGGGGAGCCTCAGAGAGAGAGGCAGACTCCCTGCCGAGCAGGGAGCCCGATGTGGGACTCGATCCCGGGACTCCAGGATCATGACCTGAGCCGAAGGCAGTCGCCCAACCAACTGAGCCACCCAGGCGCCCTGTTCTCCATTTTTTTTAATTTATTATGTTTTTATTTAAGTATAATGAACATACAGTGTTATATTAGTTTTAGGTGTACAACATACTGATTCAGCAATTCTGTACATTATTCAGTGTTCATTATGATAAGTGTACTCTTAATCCCCATTGCCTATTTCACCCATCCCCCCACCCACCTCCCCTCTGGCAATCACCAGTTTGTCTCTGTATTTAAGTGTTTTTTTGTTTATCTCTTTTTTGTTGCTGTTCATTTGTTTCTTAAATTCCATATATGAGTGAAATCATATGGTATTTATCTTTCTCGGACTTATTTTTTTTTTTTTTTTAAAGATTTTATTTATTTGACAGAGCGAGAGATAGAGCAGGAACACAAGCAGGGGGAGTGGGAGAGGGAGAAGCAGGCTTCCAGCCTGAGCAGGAAGCCTGATGTGGGGCTCGATCCCAGGACCCTGGGATCATGACCTGAGCCGAAGGCAGACGCCTAACAACTGAGCCACCCAGGCGCCCCTTTCTTGGACTTATTTCACTTAGCATTATACTCTAGATCCATCCGTGTTGTTGATAATGGCAAAATTTCTTTCTCTTTTATGTCTGAGTAATATTCAAGCTTTTTTTATTGAGGTACAATTGACACATAACATTATATTAGTTTCGGGTGTAGAATGTAGTGATTCAAAATTTGTATATATTGTGAAATGATCACCACAATAAGTTTAGTTAACAAAAGAAGCTTTTCAATTGCATTTTTTTTTAAGATTTCATTTTTAAGCAATCTCTAACCCTGATGTGGGGCTTGAACTCACAATCCTGAGATCAAGAGTTGTATGCTTTACCAACTGAGCCAGCCAGGCACCCCCCAAAAGAAACTTTTTAATTTTTTAATTTTTTTTTACAAGATTTTACTTATTTTAGAGAGGAGGGGGGAGCAAATGGGGGGAGTGACAGGGGGAGAAGGAGAGAGAGAATTTCAAGCAGACTCTGAGCTCAGCCCCAGTGTGGGGCTCTATCTCATGACCCTGAGATCATGACCTGAGCTGAAACCAAGAATCAGACACTTAACTGACTGAGCCACCCAGGCGCCCCAAAAGAAACTTTGTAAATATTTTATTTATTTATCCATTTATTTATTTGAGAGATAGGGAGAGCATTTGCGAGTAGGGGGAGGGGCAGAGGGAGAAGGAGAAAATCTCGTGGAGTCCGACACAGGGCTAGATCTCATGACCCTGAGATCATGACCTGAGCTAAAACCAAGAGTCAGATGCTTAACCCACTGAGCCTCCCAGATGCCCCCCCAAAACAACTTTTTAAAGAAAAAAATACCTTAACTTGTTTATCCTTACCTGTTGCTTTTAAAGTTTTTTTCTTACTAATTTTCTTTCTCATAATCATGCACACATATTTTTACATACATGTAACTGAATATAATTTTTATTGTTATATTTTAGACCAGAGGTGAAAATGGTAATTGTGAAAAGTATGGGAAAGTTATACCAGCAAGTGCTGTGATATTTGGGATGGCAGTAGAATGTGCAGAGATAAGAAGACATCATAGGTAAGTGATAATTTAAATAGCAAATACTAGAAAACATTAATTTTAAAGACTAAACTGTACTTGAAATTTTATTTAGTGAATATTTATTTGGATGAGAATTTGTAGTTTTGTGACCTTTAAATTCAGTGATGTTTATTCCAGTCTTAATTCCCTTTTTGCCTTTTTCTTACTTTTAAAGTGGAACTCTAGGGGTACTGGGTGTCTCAGTGGGTTAAGCGTCAGCCTTCGGCTCAGGTCATGATCCCGGGGTCCTGGGATTGAGCCCCGCATCGGGCTCCCTGTTCAGCAGGGAGCCTGCTTCTCCCTCTGCTTGTGCGTGTGCTCTCTCTCTCTCTCTCTCTGTCAAATAAATAAATAAAATCTTAAAAAAAAAATAAAGTGGAACTCTAGAATTAAAACCAGCTTTCAGTTTTTTAGTGGAAAATTGATTTTGATACAACTTAGTATTTTTTTTTATTTGTGATAGATTAAAGAGGCCCCCTTCAATAACTTAATGGCAGTAAAGGTAACATATAAATATTTTAAGACATAGTGATGAGTAAAAGAAAATAAAAATTATCCTAAACTCCTCACCGTTAGATAGCTACTGTTCATCTTTGTTGTATACTCTTCCTTACTTTTCTATGCATGTTACAGGGTGATAAGTAAAAATATTTAGTTATTGGTAGGGCATAGGGCACCAACCAGACAGACAGTGGCCTTAATTAATAGATTGGCTGAATTAGTGTGTTGGTTGAGTGTCAGCTCTGTGTAAGTAAATGTGTGTGTGTATTAACTTAATTTTGTTTCAAAAGTATCAGTAAATATATTTGCTTTTTCTTTGTGAGCCTCTTCATGTTAATAGATATGCTTCATGATTTTTTAAAACCAATTTCTTATAGTTCTCAGAGTTTAGAGTTTTTAGGTTGCTTCTACTGTTTGGCATTTAAGAACAAGGATAAATATCTTTGTACTTAGGTCTGTGTGGACTTGTTTTTATTATTTTCTTGGGATAAATTTCTTAATAAAGAATTGAGTTCAAGTCTTTTAAAAAAAAGAATTGAGTTAAAAGGTATGCACATTTTTCAGTTTATGGAGACACATTGCTGAATTGCCCACCAGAAAAGCTAGGTTGTATCTTGCTGAGATTTCTTGGTATAACATGATTCTAGATTCTTTGCCATTAGTAGTTTCTCTTTATATTTTATAGATAAGTCACTAAATTTGTTTGTCTGAGCAAAATAGAAATTGACTGGTATCTACCATTTTGAAAAAGGATCCCCTCATCATTGATTCATTTATATAGCAAATAAAGGCCTGACTATACAACAGAAGCACCAGAGCAGGTTTTGTAAAAATAAAAATGCCATACATTTTGTTTGAGTAGGTTTGGGTGAGTGAGGCCTGGTATTTATTTTTCATGAAGCTCAGCAGTGTGGGTTGAGGACCATGAAGAAAGGTGTTGAAAATATAGAGATTAGTGCTACTATTTTATCTAGTAGAAACAATTTTTTTTTAAGATTTTATTTATTTATTCATCTGAGAGAGAGAAAGAGAGAGAGCGTGAGAGTGAGCATGAGCAGGGGGAGGGGCAGAGGGAGAGGGAAAAAGAATCCCAAGCAGACTCCACACTGAGGGCAGAGCCCAATGTGGGGCTGGATCCCACAGCCCTGAGATCATGACCTGAGTTGAAACCAAGAGTTGGATGTTCAACCAACTGAGTCACCCAGGCACCCCTGGTAGAAACAATTTTTTTTTTAAACATTTTATTCATTTATTTGAGAGAGAGCAGGGGCAGTGGGAGAAGGAGAAGCAGACTCCCCACGGAGCAGGGAGCCTGACTCGGGGCTTGATCCCAGGACCCCAGGATCGGGACCTGAGCTGAAGGCAGACGCTTAACCAACTGAGCCACCCAGGTGGCCCTGGTAGAAACAATGTTTGGAACCAAATTAGTTTGGAACCTAGTAAGTTGAATCTTATGCTTATCTGAACAAGCAAATATTTTAAGAATAGCCAAGAAAAATGAGACATTTGCCTCTAGAAATAAAAAACACTGATGCAGAAATAGAAAAATAGATCAGTGGAACACAATAAGTACAGATACAGACCTTGGAATTTACAGGGATTTAGTAATGATACAGAGGTGGTGTTCAGATCAGCAGAGAATGGATGAATGGAGATAGAGATGATATTTTTCATTTGGGGAAGAACATTAGATTCTTATTTTAATTCAAGATGAATTAAATAAGTGTAGAAAATCCATTGAGAGATGAAGGCTTTCCAAAGGAAAACACAGGATAAAGTCTAGAAGCTATAAAAGATTGACAAATTTGACCACATTAAAAAGATTTTAATATATCTGGTGAAAGATAGTATAAATAAAGTTAAAAGATAGTTGACAGACTGAGATAAAAATTTGCAACTTTTGCAACAAAGCATTAATATACTTAAAATTGTCTATTAATCAGAGAAATGGAAGTTAAGTCAATATAACTTTTTTTGAATATTAATATTAGTAAACATTAAAAATGATAACATCCTATTTTCTTACAGGTGTGGGGAAAACTTACATACTGTTAGTACAACATTTTAGTAGCTCAATTTAGCATTATCTAACAAAACTAAAGATCTGTATAGTCCTTGACCTAGTATTTCTACTTCTGGTGTGTACAGCGATACGTGTACAGGGATGTTTACTGTAATGCTGTAATTGGGAAAACCTATCTGAAGGCTTATTAGTAAGAAAATATTTCAATAATTTTTGATAAAACATTCACCCAGTGCAGTACTGTGTAAGTGTCAAAAAGAATTGTTTAAGGTACATGTACTGACATGGAAAGAAGTTCATAATATACTATTAAGTGAAAAAGACAAGGTATGATCCTAGGAGCAATGAGCATACCTGGCACTTAGGTCTTGGTTTCTAAATTCCATTCCTTGCCAAAGGAACTATATATAGCTCCTTAGAAAAATGGCTGCTTCCAGGACTAGGGTAGGACAGATTCAAGATGACTCTGAAACATTTTGCATCAGAAATTAAGGAAGTACTCAAAAAAAATTATAGGCCGTTAAAAGGACATAGAAGCATGCTTGGAAGGGTCTCCCACTGGCCAAATCTGAGACAAATTAAGCACCAAATACATACATAAATATATAAGGGCATTTATCAATTAAAACCCATTGAGTAAAATAAGAATCCGTGAGTTCCTACTTATAATAAATAGATTAATAAATTCATAAATGGAGACAAAAGGACAGTTCTTTCCAGCAGTAGAATGTTGACTAATAACAAATGTTGCAGAGTTATTGTTTGCAATCCCCATGTAAAGATAGGAGCAAAAATTATGAATGGATCAAACAAAGGGGGGAAGTTGAATGAAGGTCAAGATATTTATAAGTTTAAAAGTATCTTCTCACAAATTATTTATTACAAAAGGAAAAATGTTAATTACACAGGGAAGGAAGTGTCTTTTGCCCTTTTTTTATTTGTAGAAATTTAAAAATATATTTTGGATAAGAGCCCTTTTTTGAATAGATGTATTATAAATTGCTTCTACTCTGTGTACCTTTGTACTTTCTGAAAGCTGAGTATCTTTTGATGAGAAGAGTTTTTAATTTCAATATAGACCTATTTGTCATTTGTTTTCTTTTATAGTTAGTGACTGTGTATGTAATTGTGTTTAAACCTCTGTCAGTGAAGTTTTATTTCATTTTTATGTTTATTTTTTCTGGACTCACTATTAGATGGTGTTACTTGATTCTAAACAAAACAAAACAAAACAAAAAAAACACAAAGAAACCATCTTTCTCCCTTCCCTTTCTTATTTTCCCTCCTACCAGGGTGGGTACTAAGAATGTTGCTGGGATCTGTTTACCAACAAATGTGAAATTTCAGAGTCCAGCTTGTTCTTCTGTAGATGCTGAAGAGACAGTTGAACCATATACAACTGAAAAGATGAGTCGAGTTCCTGGAGGATATTTGGCTTTGACAGAGTGCTTTCAAATTATGACAGTAGATTTCAACAATCTTCAGGTAAAAAAAAAAAAAAATTCAGTTACAATTTCTGAGCATTAAATTTCAAGCATTGTTAAAGTAATACATAGCACAGTCTTATTTTATGAATTTGCATGGGATTCTACTTACTATGTATAAGGAAAATGATTAAATGGTAACCAGTATTTTCTCTTGAAATTATGTACTTACTTTAAATACATAGGAAAAAAAATCCCTAAGGTTTGTTGGGAATGTATAATGTGCCAGGTGCTTTCACATGCGTTCTTAGATTTCTTTTACAACAGTGTTGCAATTATAATTATAGTTGTAATTATCCTTGTGCTATATAGATGAGGGAACTATTGCTTACATTAATTTTCCCCAAATTATGCAGCTGTGAATGCAAGAGTTACAACCTAGAGCTTTCTGACTTTCTCAATGTCATGCTGCCATTTCAAGTTAACAGTATTCCTTGAAAACGAACAGTAATCCAGATCTCCAGATTGTATCTGTATTAGGGTGATCACCCAAATCAGTTTTCCCAGAAATGAGAGGCTCCCAAGACATGAGACTTGCAGTTTTAGACTAGGACAGTCTTGGGCAAACCAGGAGAAGTTGGTCACCCTATGTATCTATCTGTGTGTGTATTGGTGAGTGGTGGGCAGATGTGCTGCATAAAGAAAGTACCCAAGGAAATTGAGAAAGGTTACATAGAGTCCTTCTCTGAAGATCTTTAAGGTTAGATGAGACATGCCTGGGGACAGAAGACGTTGTAAGGGTCATTTTAGCCTACGATCTTTATAATTTAATAAATTTAATAAAATTTAATCCCCTATTAATTGCTACTAGGTTCTTCTTGAGGTGGTTTGGAGCTACATTAACACTTTGACATTACCTACTGAGGCTGAGCTTCAAGAGCCTTTCATTTCTGATATAATGGTACAGAGGGGAACAACACAGTTATAGATGTCAAATACCCCAAAGCTGTCCTTTTCTTATTTTGAGCTTTTCTTACGTTAATTTTTCTTTGCCACAGTTTAAAAAAAAAACCCACCTTAGTAAGGCTTTAATTTGGAAGTAATATTTGCTTGTTTAACACTTTCAAGTAATGAAGAACAGAAAAGAAAAAGTGTATGTCTTCCTTTCTAAAATCTAGGTCCTACTTCCCCCAGATCACCAATTTGAAGTACATCTTTTCAGACTTGCTTTTCTGTTCTTCTATACACACATGCGCGCTTTTTAAAAAACAAAATCTATTTGCCACTCACTGCCTTCATTCAATAATATGTCATGGGCTCCTTTCTACATCAGTATTATGTATCTGCCTCATTGTTTTTAATAGTTGCACAGTATTCCACTATGATAAATGGGAGCTTCTCATCCAGTATGCCTTAAATGGCTATAAGTGTGTCAAGATACTGATTTTCCTAAGGATGCTGGGCAGATCTGAGAATTAGAGAAATGGAAAGTGATGTAATATTGGGGCATGTGTATATTAAGTATATAAAATATTTTCATTCCTTTTACATTTTTGTCAGGAATTAAAAAGTCTTGCAACTAAAAAACCTGGTAAAATTGGTATTCCTGTTATTAAAGAAGGCATACTAGATGCTGTTGTGGTTTGGTTTGTACTCCAGCTTGATGATGAACACAGTTTATCCACAAGTCCTAGTGAGGAAACATGTTGGGAACAGGCTATCTACCCTGTACATGACCTTGCAGGTATATCTTATCTAATTGTTGTTTGTTTGTTTTTTAATCTTATTGCTTTAATCCTCTAAGCATTTGAAGTCATGTAAAAAAAATTTATTTTGGGGGCGCCTGGGTGGCTCAGTTGGTTAAGCGACTGCCTTCGGCTCAGGTCATGATCCTGGAGTCCCTGGATCGAGTCCCGCATCGGGCTCCCTGCTCGGCAGGGAGTCTGCTTCTCCCTCTGACCCTCCCCCCTCTCATGTGCTCTCTCTCATTCTCTCTCTCTCTCAAATAAATAAATAAAATCTTTAAAAAAAAAAAAATTTACTTTGAATATGAAGTTTCCAGTCAAGGGAGATTGGTTAAATTTTTCAGAACTTTTTATGTTTTGAAAAAGATTTTATTTGAGAGAGAGAGAGAGTGCGCTTGAGCATGAGCAGGGGCAGGGGCAGAGGGAGAAGCAGGCTCCCAGCTAAGCAGGGAGCCCATGTGGGGCTCGATCCCAGGACATTGGGATCATGACCCGAGCGGAAGGCAGACGCTTAATGGGCTGAGCCACCCAGGCGCCCCAGAACTTACTTTTTAAAAAAGTAGTTTTAAATAATTAATATATGTAGTTAAGAAAAGTAAAACATAATTGCTGCATACTACTGAAAAATATCTATCATTGGGGGGCGCCTGGATGGCTCAGTCGTTAAGCGTCTGCCTTCGGCTCAGGTCATGATCCCAGGGTCCTGGGATCGAGCCCCACATCAGGCTCGCTGCTCCGTGGGAAGCCTGCTTCTCCCTCTCCCACTCCCCCTGCTTGTGTTCCCTCTCGCTGTGTTTCTCTCTGTCAAATAAATAAATACAATCTTTAAAAAAAAAAGTCTATCATTGGGGCACCTGGGTGGCTCAGTTGGCTGAGTGTCTGACTCTTGATTTCAGCTGGGGTCATGGTGTTGGGTCCTGAGATTGAGCCCTCTGTCGGGGGTCTGCGCTCAGTGGGAGTCTGCTTGGGATTCTCTCCCTCTGCCCCTCCCCTTTCTCACATGCAAGCTCTCTCAAATAAATAAATAAATATTTTAAAAATATAATTTCTTCAGCTCTGATTACTCTAGTTATCTGTAGATAAGAGAAATGCTAGTCCATTATTTATAGAACAGTGGAAAAGTACTAGTGTAGGAGTTCTTCTTGCTGCTTACAGAATCTGTGGAGTCCCAGGTCATAAAGGTGCACATACACATATAAAACAAAATTTTGAAGTTTTAAAGGGTTTATAAATTCATGGACTTCCCTAGGGAAGTTCTATGTTAAAGATATTTTTTGTATAGAAATTTTTTACCAGCGGGCGCCTGGGTGGCTCAGTCGTTAAGCGTCTGCCTGTGGCTCAGGTCGTGATCCCCGGGTCCTGGGATCGAGGCCCGCATCGGGCTCCCTGCTCCACGGGAGGCCTGCTTCTCCCTCTCCCACTCCCCTGGCTTGTGTTCCCTCTCTCGCTATCTCTCTCTCTGTCAAATAAATAAATTAAAAAAATTAAAAAAAAAAAAGAAATTTTTTACCAGCAATTTGATGGATTTCAGTATATTCACATAAGTTATATTTCATAGAAAAATTCTACCTTTTTTAAATGGGGGGAGAGGTAATAAGTTTCTGTTTCTGTGTAGTTTCCTAGTCAAGGATCTAATTTGGCAAGATCGTTAAGTCTTGGAATGTGTATAGTGGTGTGGCTAGTATGGTGTTTTTGGAGTCAGTCAGGTAGACTTGGATTCAGGTCCTGGCACTGCTACTTATTGACTCCCTGGCTGGCCTTGCTGAGTATGTCTCAGAGCTTTTATTATGTGATACACAAAAATAGGATGATGCTATCTACCTTGCAGGATTGTTGTAGGGATTTTAAGAAATAATGGATAAGGGACGCCTGGGTGGCTCAGTCAGCTAAGCGTCTGCCTTCGGCTCAGGTCATGATCCTGGAGTTCTGGGATCGAGTGCCACGTCGGGCTCCATGCTCAGCGGGGAGTCTGCTTCTCCCTCTGCCTGCTGCTCACTCTGCTGGTGATCTGTCTCTCTTTCTGACAAATAAATAAAATCTTAAAAAAAAAAAAATAACCAGAATGGATGTAAAATGCCTATCAGCAGCATGGCAACTGGCACTCAGTAAGTGGCATTTATTATTTGAGTTTATTTATCTTATTTAAAAAAATTTAATTCCAGTATAGTTACCGTATGGTGTTATATTAGTTTCAGATAATCAGTGTAGTAATTCGTTAATTTTCTATATTACTCAGTGTTCATCATAAATATACTCTTAATTCCCTTCCCCTATTTCACCCATCTGTCCGCCTGCTCCCCTTTGGTAACCACCAGTTCTCTATAGTTAAGAATCTGTTTTTTTATTTGTCTCTTTCTTTGTTCATTTATTTTGCTTCTTAAATTCCATATATGAATGTAATATGGTATTTGTCTCTAATTGACTTATTTCACTTAGCATTATACTCTCTAGATCCATCCATATTGTTGCAAGTGCCAAGATTTCATTCTTTTTTATGGCTAATATTCTATTATATCTATATACCACATCTTTTAAAAAATTTTTTTATTTAAGTTCCAGTTAACATACAGTGTAATATTAGTTTCAGGTGTACAATATAGTGATTCAACACTTCCATGTATCACCTGGTGCTCATCACAAGTGCACTCCTTAATCCTCATCACCTGTTTAACTCATCGCCCCCCCTACCCTCTCCCTTCTATACCACATCTTCTTTATCCATTCATCTATCAGTGGACACTTGGGCTGCTTCTATACCTTGGCTATTGTAAATAATGCTGCTGTGAGTGTAGGGGTACGTGTATCCCTTTGAATTAGTGTTTTCATATTCTTTGGGCAAATACCAGTAGTGGAATTACTGGGTCATACGGTAATTGTGTTTTTAATTTATTCAGGAACTTCCATACTATTTTCCACAGTTTTCCCAACAGTGCACAGGGGTTCCCTTTTCTTCATATTGTCGCCAACACTTGTTTCTTGTGTTTTTTATTTTAGCCATTCTGACAGGTGTGAGGTGATAGCTCATTGTGGTTTTGATTTGCATTTCCCTGATGATGAGTGATGTTGAACATCTTTTCATGTGTTATTTTTGTTTATTCAAACTTTCTTATAGTTACTTAGACACATGGACCTTTTTTTTTTAAATCCTTTTTAGGGAAAGGACATTTTAAATGTGTAATCACAAGAATAACCTGTATTTTCAACTGGTTCTAAAGCTGATAAGAAGGAATTGTGATTTTACATTTACATTTTATTTTATTTTTTTAAAGATTTTATTTATTTATTTGACAGAGAGAGACACAGTGAGAGAGGGAACACAAGCAGGGGGAGTGGGAGAGGGAGAAGCAGGCTTCCCACGGAGCAGGGAGGCCGATGTGGGGCTCGATCCCAGGACCCTGGGATCATGACCCAAGCCAAAGGCAGATGCTTAACAACTGAGCCACCCAGGCGCCCCTACATTTACATTTTAAAGTTTTACTGAGTTTGAAAGTTCATGGATAAGAGCTTTATATCTTTATTGTAGGACTTAGTCCTTCCATATATTGTCAAATTCCTAAACATGCAAGTGTCTAAATACTTAGAGTTAGAAATATTACTGATAAGATCCTATTAAATGCTGCCTTGGTCTTTCGGAAATTTCTCATAGAGAAAAGAATGTCCCTTTAAGCTAGGGTGAGGGTTTGGTATTGACCCCAGACTTTGATTTATCTTTGTTATTGTTGGCTTCATTACTGAAGAAGATTAATAAGAGTCCCCTGCAGCCCTTCCCCCACCCCCTAATATGGGGATGATGATACCTACTGATTGCACTAAAAGCACTATGGTACTAATAGTTGGGGTTCAGTAATGGAGCTCTTGAATCTCTCTGTTATGCCATGAGTTAATTGTCTTCAAACTTAAGTTTTTGGCCAAGAAAGCTGGAGGGATTTTTCCTGGTGTTTTGTAGGAAATGAATAAATTAATTTTATTTCTATTAAATCAATAGATACAATCTTTCCTGTAGTGATTTCAAAATGGGGGGAGGGTGGAAGTGTTTGTATGATCCTCAGACTTATAAATATATTCATCAATTACAATTCGTTTTTCTTTCTATTTTACGGAGACTACTGGATAAAACCTGGGGACCATGTGATGATGGAAGTGTCTTGTCAAGATTGTTACTTAAGAATCCAGAATATCAGTGTTTTTGGTTCGGAACATGAAGTGGGTGCTGGAAAAAATTTTACCCAGGATAAAGACTTGATGTCTTTAGGAGGGGAGGCTGAACTCTGTAATGCCCTGGCTAACCTTCAGACCAGTAAACCAGATGCTGTGGAGCAGACATGTATATTGGAATCCACAGAAATTGCTTTGCTTAATAACAACCTCTATCATGAAGGCTTTAAAATGGCAATGAGAAGAGTGTTGTCTTCGTTGACTCCAGAGAAACTGTGTCAGGCCATGGACACTCAGTGTCAGAATGAGATGAGCTGCGGAAATGAAGAGAGTAATTCTGAAGAGAGCATCCCTGAACCTTTCTATGTGTTAGATGTGTCTGAAGGCTTCTCTGTTCTGCCCTTAATTGCTGGCACACTTGGGCAGGTTAAACCTTACAGTTCTGTGGAGAAAGACCAGCATCGTATCACCCTGGACCTCATATCTGAAGCCAATCACTTTCCTAAAGAAACACTCGAGTTTTGGTTGAGACATGTGGAAGATGAATCTGCTGTGTTGCAAAGGCCAAAATCAGACAAGCTGTGGAGTATAATTATATTGGATGTCATTGAGCCATCTGGGCTCATTCAGCAGGAAATAATGGAAAAAGCAGCAATATCCAGGTAAAACACAAAATACAACTTTTGGTTTTTGAGCTTAAATTCATGTCAATTCTTTTAGTTCTTTAATGGCATAGCTGTACAAATGAGTCATTACGTGTGTTCCTTTTCAGGATATGTGACTTTATCCCTTTGTTTTTGTGTGCATGTCATTACTCATTTTTTCATCTAAAGGAACGCCTTCTCTGTAGGTGTGAAGAAGAGAGCCTGCTTTGGGATTGGACTGCCTCTATATAATATAGAGAATTAAGTAAAGATTTATAAGAACGATAAAGATATTCTGTAAATAAGGAAAAATCAAATCTCATCTTTATGATATAAGAAATGCCTTTAATGGGCACCTGGGTGGCTCAGTCAGTTAAGCATCTGCCTTTGGCTCAGATCATGATCTCGGGGTCCTGGGATTGAGCCCTACGACAGGCTCCCTGCTCATCGGGGAGCCTGCTTCTTCCTCTTCACCCTGCTCATGCTCTCTCTCACTATCTCTGTCACTCTGTCTCTCTCTCAAATAAATAAATAAAATCTTAAAAAAAAAATATCTTTAAGAAACATGTAGTACACATTTGATGGTATATTGGGAGAGCAAAGTGCTTCTTATAAACAAGCCCCAGTCATCTTAGGTCTTAAAATCTTTATTTTATGATACAGTTCTCTCCCCAAGGTATTTTCCCTTCAGTGTTGATTGCTGGAGGCAAACTTGACCCTAATATTTAATATTGAAAGCAAATTTGACTAAACTTCAAGGTCCTTTAGTTGTGCTGTTCAGATCTGAGTGCCTATTGGCCATTTGTATTTCTTCTTTGGAAAAATGTCTCTTCAACTTCTTTGCCAGTTTTTGGGTCAGATTTTTTTTTTTTTAATTGAGTTTTTAGGAATTCTCTATGTAGCTGGATATTAATCCCTTATCACATCACTGACAGATATTTTCTCCCATTCTGTGGGTTGGTTGCCTTTTTACTTTATTGATAATATCTTTTGATATGCAGAAATTTAAATTTTTTATACAGTCCACTTTGTTTTTTGTTTGTTTTACTTTTATTGCCTGTTTTTGGTGTCATTTCCAAGAAATCATTGTCAGATGCTATGGCCTAAAGCCATTCTCATATGTTCTCTTTTAAGAATGTTTATAGTTTTAGGTCTTAAATTTAGGTCTTTGAACCATTTTGATTTAATTTTTGTATATGGCATTCAGTTAGAGCCCAGCTTCAGTCTTTTGACAATAGATACCCAGTTTTCCCAACAACTGTTAGTAGAAAAGACATCCATTCCACATTGAATGGTCTTGACACCCTTGGGAAAAAATATTTTACCATATATGTCAAGGTTTATTTCTGAGGTCTTTAGTTCTATTATCGTTGATGTACATGTCTAGTCTTTATGCCATTACCATCCTATTTTGATTACTGTAGCTTTATAATAAATGTGTTTTTAAGCGACTAATTGTTTCTTTGTCGTGGTAAAAAACAATATTAAATTATATATATCATCTTAACCACTTTTTTAAAGATTTTATTTCTTCAACAGAGAGAGCAAGGGGAGGGGGTTACAGAGGGAGAGGGAGAAGCAGACTCCCCGCTGAGCAGGGAACCAGACACAGGGGGCTCAATCCTAGGGCCCCAGGATCATGACCTGAGCCAAAGGCAGATGCTTAACTGACAGCCACCCAGGCATTCTTCATCTTAACCGTTTTAAACATACAGTTTAGTAGTACTAAGGTGTATTCACATTGTTGTACAGCAGATCACTAGAACTTTTTCATCTTGCAAAACTAAAACTCTATAACCACAAAACACTAATACCCCTTGCCCCCGAGTCCTTGGCAACCACCTTTCCAATTTCTGTTTCTATTATTTTGAGTACTTTAGATACTTCATATGTAGAATCATTTCACTTACCATAATGTCCTTGAGGTTCATCCATGTTGTAACATGTAACAGGATTTCCTTCTTTTTTAAACTGCGTAATATTCCACTGTATAAATATGCCAGTTTCATTAGCCATTCATCTGTTGTTGGACATTTGAGTTATTCTACCTTTTAGCTACTGTGAATAATGCTGCAGTGAAAATGAGTGTATACATCTCTCTCAGATTCTGCTTTCAGTTCTTTTGATACATATCTAGGGGTGCAACTGAGTCATGTGGTAATTCTGACTGAAGTACTGCAGCTTCCTTGGTGCTATGGCAAGTCATGGTACTAGAGCTCACCCTGATGTCCGTCTGTGGTATTGCACACTCTCCGCTCCTTAACCAAGCCAAGTGATCTCCTTTATCTATCAGAGGTCCCCAACCTGACTCCCGTTTTTTTGTCACTGCTTAGGTTCATGCAAGAGAGAAACCAGTCCCTTGGGCAGCTCCCCCCCCCAAAAGTCAGAATGTTATGACGTACATTCCATTCTTCTCGTTTTTCTCCCCAACAAGAAACTGGGAATTGGGAGTTCTCTCTTGATTGTACTGTGCTGTGGGTGCCTGGGGAAGAGACTATGGCAAGTAAATGCGATACATTTTCCTACCATCTTCCATGCAGTTCTTTCTGGCTGTGCACTGGCCTGGGGTACAGGAACCTCTTAACTGGTTTCTGCGTATCTCCCAGAAATAGTTTAGTCTGTGTGTTTTTATTAAGTAAGTGTCTCTGGGGAGAGGTGAGTCGGAGGCTTCCTATTCACCATTTTGCTTATATGGTTATTTTCCCTGTACTTTATGTTTTGAAATTGGGAAATGTAAAACCTCCAACTTTTTTTTTTTTTTTTCAAGATTGTTTTGGCTATTCTGGATCCCTTGAAATTCCATATGAAGTTTAGGATAGAGATTTTTCTATTTTGGTAAAAAAAATGCTGTTGGGGGCGCCTGGGTGGCTCAGTTGTTAAGCGTCTGCCTTCGGCTCAGGTCATAATCCCTGGGTCCTGGGATCGAGCCCCTCATCGGGCTCTCTGCTCAGTCAGAAGCCTGCTTCTCCCTCCCACTCCCCCTGCTTGTCTCTCTGTCAAATAAATAAATAAAATCTTTTTAAAAAAAATGCTCTTGGGATTTCATAGGGATTGCATTAAATCTGTATAGCTCACTTTGAGTAGTATTTACATTTTAACTATTTTTTTCAGTCCATGAATGTGGGATGTCTTTTGGTTTATTTGTATCTTTTTTTAAAAAGATTTTATTTATCTCAGAGAGAGAGAGTGTGCATGCATGCGCAGGAGTGGGGAAGGGGGATGGGGGGTGCAGAGGGAGAGGGACAAGCAGATCCCAGGACCCTGAGCCATGCAGTTGCCCTATTTGTGTCTTTCCAGCAATGTTTGTAGTTTTCAGTTTACAAATCTTTAACCTGTTTGGTTAACTTTATTCCTAAGTATTTTTTTATTTTTTATTCTATTGTAAGTGGGATTGTTTTCTTAATTTCCTTTTTGGGTTGTTCCTGTTAATTATAAAAATACAACTAATTTGTGTGTGTTGATTTTATATCCTGAAACTTTGCTGAATTTATTAGTTGTAACATTTTTATGTGGAATCTTTAGGGCTTCTAAATATATGATGATGATGTCTGTGAACAGAGATAATTTTACTTCTTCATTTCTAGTTTTGATGCCCTTTATTTTTCTTGCCTGATTGCTTCATTTAGAACTTCCAGTGACTATGTTGAATGAAGGTAGTGAAAGTGGGTGTCCTTGTTTTGTTCCTGATCTTAGTGGAAGAGCTTTCAGTCAGTTACATTTTATTTACATGGAACCTTTAAAGGATTTTTAAAAAGCATTTTTGGTTATAAAAACAATTTAGCAGACAATGTGTTCTGTGTGAAGGATTAGTTATTATAGTGGGAAACAACTTATGTAAAACTACCAACTCCTGGGTGCCTGGGTGGCTCAGTTGGTTAAGCGACTGCCTTCGGCTCAGGTCATGATCCTGGAGTCCCGGGATCGAGGCCCGCATCGGGCTCCCTGCTCAGCGGGGAGCCTGCTTCTCCCTCTGACCCTCCCCCCCCATGCTCTCTCTCTCATTCTCTCTCAAATAAATAAATAAAATCTTTAAAAAAAAAAAAAGCTACCAACTCCTCTTCTCCGTGTTTCTTGGTAGGGGGAGGAGTCCTATTGGCAGTTTGAGTGGGACAGTTTTGTTTTTGTTTGTTTGTTTTTTACAGTTGTCCTATGGATTGCAGGATGTTTGGCATCTCTGGGCAGTAAATGCTAGTAGCACCCGTAATCATTGTTTTAACCCAGTATTCTTTTTTTTTTTTTTATTCTTATGTTAATCCCCATACATTATATCATTAGTTTTAGATGTAGTGTTCCATGATTCATTGTTTGTGCATAACACCCAGTGCTCCATGCAGAATGTGCCCTCCTCAATACCCACCCTCCTAACCCATCCTCCCCCTAACCCAGTATTCTTTCAAATACCTCCTGAGTAACAGTGGGGAACCAGTGGTTCTTTCCTTTAGCCCAAGCTGTGGTACAACCTCCTTACCTGGATGGATAGGCTTATCTTGATTCTGGGGACAGAGGTATGCAGATGCTCTCACACAGGCCTCCTCTTTAGCCTCTAACAGAGGTGAGGTCTCATGACTGGTGAAAGGGTGAAATTAGTGATTGGGAGAATAGATTATATCTGGGATAAGGACATCTCTCTCACTGGAACTCCTCCCAGCACCCCCCCCCCCAAAAAACAAGGGAAAACGAGTCATTTCACAGACTTAAGTATTTAGTTTCTAATTACTTTTGTAGTTGTTTTAAAATGTTTAGTCATACTAAAAATACAGGAGAAAGTTTAAATGCTTGGTACTTTTTTTTTTTAATTTAAACCCATTTAAAAACATCTTGTGTTGGGTCACAAGGAAACTGAAGAATTTCTTCTCTTCAGAATTTTTGCCATTTATGGTTAGACTTTTGAGTTGGGACGTATTTTTTCACCCCTAAAGGCACAGATGGTTCAGAAGTATTATTTGGCTGTGCAGAGGATTCCATTGAGGAGTCTGGCAGCTCCAGTGGCACAAGTGACAACAAAACAATGTCAGTAAAGCTAAGCAGAGTTGCAAGGCATTACTGTTTTATCTAAACATAACTAAGAAGCATTCCTGTTAGTGACAGTAATATTGAGTTAAGGATTTGTACAAGATTTTAGATTAAAATAGTAGGACCATGGCCTTTTAAAATAATTTTCATATACTGCCTTTGTGTAATATTTATCTCTGGCATGGTCATAGTACTTCATTCAGCCTTTTCTGACTTTTTAAGTTTCAGCAGATAAAATATTGATATTTTGTTTAGTCTGATTTTCTGAAATGATTTGATGTATTGCCCTCCCTTCCTCTTTCCCATAGATTTTTATGGTTAGAAGGTTGACTTTTAACCTATATGCTTTTTCAGCTTGCAGATTTCATAGTACAGTACCCTCTTGTGGTTATCTGGGGATGGAGGGAATTAGTCAAGCAGCATAAAGCTCTGTGGCTAGTTTGTCATTTGAGATCTTGTGCTCTTGAAAGAAAAATTAGATCTGGTTCCATTTAAGTGGATCACAATTAGCAGATAACTTTAGAAAAATTTAGTAACGTGAATTTTCAGAATTAAACCTTACCCATTTGAGGGAAACAGGTTTCTCCAGTTTTTTGGAAGATAAATTTTTATCTGGTTTGCTAAAGACATAGATGGGAATTTTGTTAAGAGCTGTGTAATTTTACTAATTGTAGAGATTAATTTCTACTAGAATTTACCTAAAATACTAGAAGTTGATAGGAAAGCAGTAATGAAAATAAGCAAAGCATTGGGGTCAGGATGGAGCCCTTTTTAAGGCTGATCTGTAATATATAAGACTTATTACAACATAAATAATCATGTACTTATATTTACTGAAGAGAGACTGTCCTGGTTTAGGATCATGACTTGTCTCAATCAGTCTAATGCCATTATGTTTAGGAATCATCTCTAACTCTCCTTGCTGATTTTATGTTCTTCAGATGACTTATGACATGGCTTCTGATTAGCTAGTTAATCTTTAGGGAGAGCTGTTAGAAGAATAGTTTTTTAGGGGCACCTGGGTGGCTCAGTCAGTTGGGCGTCTACCTTCAGCTCAGATCGTGATCCCAGGGTCCCGGGATCGAGCCCTGCGTCGGGCTCCCTGCTCAGTGGGGAGCCTGCTTCTCTCTCTCCCTCTGCCCCTCTCCCCTGCTTGTGCGCTCTCTCTCTCTCAAATAAATTAAAAAAATCTTAAAAAAAAAAGAACAGTCTTATTGTAAACTTTTCCATCAACTTTTTATTTTGAAATATTTCAAAATTTCAAACTTAAGAAAAACTGCAAGAATAGTAACAGTGAATACAAGACTGTTGTTTTGTCTTTATAACCTTCACTCTTTAACATTTAGTGTGTGTCTCCTTAGAACAAAGGCTTCCCCCCCTACATATCACAGTTAGATCACACTCAGGAAACTTAGCATTGATAAAATACTATTATTTAATATATAGTCTATGTTAAAATTTCCCCTGCTGTCCCGGTAATATCCTATATTTCTTTTTTCTCCCATCTAGGTTCTAATCAAGGGTCCTGCATTGCATTTAGTTGTCATGTCTTGTTATAGTTTGTCATTCTGGTTTTAGATACAGTATTTTTAAATGGTTGAGAGAATCAGTTTAGTAAAAGCCAGAAGAATTAATGATTTGAAACTAATTTAAGAGAAGTGCCAAAGTGGTTTTGAGGAATGGGTGTTTTATAATTTGTCAAGATTTTAATGACCTATTCAGGGAAACTACATAGCATAAAATTTTAGTAACTTGTAGGAAGTATTTTTTTTTAGATCACACAAGTGTCTTGGCAAAACCAAACCTCAGCCTTGTGTTATTATAAATAGATCCTTACTAACTCTATGTATTTAAGAGGAAAAATTTACTATTAAGATACGAAGTCCACTTGTCTATAAATAGCTTGTCCTAGAAGTTCAGGTGGAAACCAGCTTAGAATATTCAGTAAAAATGAGGGATTTAATGTGTGATTGTAAATGTGGCAAATGAAAATAATGACTTGGTTTAAAGTCCTTTAAAGTATCCTCCAAGTCTGCTTCATTTGATGGTGGTAAGTGACCCACTCACCCCCTCATGCTTCTCACAGCTGAGGTGTGAGGAAATAAGATTGTATAGGTGAACATAGGAGCTGTCTTGGCTTAAGAGCCCTAAATTTTACATAGGAACTAATACCTTCCATGGATGTAGCAATAGGAACACTTGGTTACAAGATACACCACCCTCAGGCAAGCCCAAAGATGATACAGCTTCCCATCAGGTGCTTATAGTTTGTTCATAGTTCTTTCAGTCTAAATGTGCTCTACCTTATATTAAGACGCAATTTAAAAAAATCTTTATCCTAAGCAGTGTTGCTGATCACACTAAGACAGCTGACATTCCACCTTTATGGGATTTCCAGGGAAACAAAAGGTGAACCCAAGATCAGTTGTAGGAGGAGAATGGGTTTTGTTAACCCTTTACTCACACGCTTCCTCACATTCTTTACTAGAACATTTGGATTTTTAATTAGATTTTTTTCTTTCAGTGTTTAACTTTTTATTTTGAAATAATTTCAAGCTTACAGAGAAGTTAAAAAATAGTACAAAGAACTTTTAACAACAACAACAAAAAAGAACTTTTAACATATACCTTATACCCAGATGCACAAATTGTTATATTTTGCCACATTTGCTTTATTATTCTCTCTGAACTATTTAGAGTAAGTTCCAGATATCATGTTCTTTTAACCCCTAAATATTTTGGTGTGTATTTCTAAGAACAAGGATATTCATTTACATAACCATCGTACTGTTGTCAAAATCAGGAAGGATGGCCACAATACCTTTATCTAGTGTATAGTCTTACTTAGATTTCACCATTTGTTGCAATAATAGCCATTATAGCTTTTGTTTCTGGTTCAGAATCCAGTTGAGGATCACACATGGCATTTAGTTGTCCTTTCTTTCTTTTTTTTTTTTTTAAAGATTTTATTTATTTATTTGACAGAGAGAGAAACCAGATGAGAGGGGGGAGGGTCAGAGGGTGAAGCCGACTCCCTGCCAAGCAGGGAGCCCGATGCGGGACTCGATCCCAGGACTCCAGGATCATGACCTGAGCCGAAGGCAGTCGCATAACCAACTGAGCCACCCAGGCGCCCTAGTTGTCCTTTCTCTTTAGTCTCCTTAATTCTGGAACAGTTCCTGAGTTTTTCTTATATTAACAGTTTTGAAGAGTGTAGGCCATTTATTTTGTAGAATGTTCCTCATGCTTTGTTTTGTTCTTAATTAGATTTGGATTATCCATTTTAGAGAGGAAGTTACAGAAGTTTTGTCATATTAGGAGGCACATAGTATTGCTTTATCCCATTATTGTTGATGTTAATTTAGATCAGTTGGTTTAAGTTGTATCCACCAGGTTTTTCCACAGTAAATTGCTGTGTTTCCCTTTGTAATGAGTATGTCATTGGGAGGGGGGCAGTACTTTGAGACTTTGTAATCTTTTTCCTAATAAAACTTTCACTCACTAGTTTTAATATCCATTGATGACTCTTCCTAAATCTTAAAGACATATCCATCCAGCCAACTGGTTATTTTTCTCTTTCATGGATCAGCAGCCACCTTGATTTGTTGGGAAATTATTTCCAGTGGTTTACCACTCTGAACTACCAGCCAATAACATACAAGTCTATTAGATTATGTACAATCTGTAGCTCGCCGATTCATTACGATTTAGTTACTGGTATTTATAAAACGTAGGGAATCAAGATGCTTTTAAAAAGATTTTTCCTTCTCTAGGTGTTTGCTACAATCTGGAGGCAAGATCTTTCCTCAGTATGTGCTGATGTTTGGGTTGCTTGTGGAATCACAGACACTGGTAGAAGAGAGTGCTGTTCAAGGAACAGAACGCACTCTTGGATTAAATATAGCACCTTTTATTAATCAATTTCAGGTAAGTGTTTAGAAGTTCAGCCGGGTGGCTGTTACCCACCATCTACATTATCTTTTTCTGTAGTTTTATCGAGTCACTGTGTTTAGCTGGATTAGGATGGTAATCAGTTTCCTAGAGCAAAGGAATTTATGAGTGAAAATGAATCCAGAGATTTAAATAGCCAAGGAATTCTGTTGTTCCTACTGACAAAAGTCTATAGATATTCCTCTGAACCATTGTTACAAGTGAAAAATAGGGTCCTAGGTTTAGTCTTAGGAAAAGGGTGCTTCTTGTCTAAAACAGAAGCAGCCAGAAGAAGACCTGCATTCTAAACTTGAACCCTTAATTACATTTAAACCTCAGGCTAGCAGGCCATAGGTTACTGTAAGCAGCTAATGTCTAGATAGTCAGACTGCTGTGAGTAGGAATGCAGGAGCCTAGGAAACTGGAGCTCAAGGCAAAGGGGCTAGTTGTTATTTGGGAAACAAGGACTCAAGATTTAGTGCTGGCAAAGGCATTAGCAGGAGAATACACATTTGTAAGTTAAAATTGTGTGAGTGGATGAAGTGTTTAGGGGAAGAGGTTTGGTGTTGAAGACAGGTAGGAAGTAGGTGGAATACTGATGTGTAAGCGAAAGCAGAATTTTGGGAAGTAGGATTTGTGTGCAGATTTAAAGAAGTGATATCTCAAACTTTTATCTAACGGCTATGCATAGTAAGCCTTTGAATATGCAGTGAGATCTATGAACAGTACTTGATCAACAAATGTAAGTTTGTTGAGAAAATGCTTTTTTTCCAGGGCTGGCTAAATGAGATCTTAGAGTTTGTTTAATCTCAGATTTTTGGAGAGTTTAATAAGGAGAATACACTTAGCAGAAGACAGACGTTTAGGGGCACCTGGCTGTTTCAGTTGGAGTGTGTGACTCTTAATCTCAGAATCTACATGTTGGGTATAGAGATTACTAAAAAATAAATCAACTTTAAAAAAAAGAAGTTTTAGTTGTTTGTGTGGTTCAAAAATACCACCCTCTCCTTTCTAGCTTATTCCCTCTTGATGTTGATTTTACAATTGTTTGATTCCATCAGAATCTATGGTATTTTGATCCCTCCATCTTTTCACTGTATTTTCTGTTTTAGATCCTCCTTCCTTAATAGTTTGTATTCCATGGTCCATGTACTTTTCAAATATCCCTTCTCTTCAGTTTTTCTACTGGCCTGGGAAGATCCTACCTTGGTTAAATCCAGCTTTCTGCCCTCTCTATGCCAGTACTCCTACAGTTGAATATGCAGACTTTGGTCTCACTTCAGCCTGTGACTACTCATCCCAAGAGGCAACTTGCCTGGTAGTTTTACATTTTCTGGTCCACCTACCCATTTTCTTAGATGATACTGTCTCTTCTTTTCTAATATGATAATTATCTGTTACACAGACAACTGAGTGAACCAATGAAACAAAATGAGAGGTGGTAAAATAAACTATACAGTAGTCCTCTCTTATCTATGGGGGATACTTTCCAAGACCCACAATGAAAACCACCGATAGTACTGAACCTATCTATACTGTTTTTCCCTAAACATACACCTATGATAAAGTCTAGTTTATAAGTTAGGTAGAGTAAGAGATAACAATAATAACTAAAAATAGAATAATTATAATGTACTGTAATAAAACTTATGTGGATGTGGTCTCTCTTTCAAAATAGCTTATTGTACCGTATTCACCCTTCTTGTGATGACATGAGATGATAAAATGCCTCCCTAGTGAGATTATGTGATGGGAATGATAGAGGTGTTAGTTAGGTTACTATTGACTTGACACTTTGTCAGGAGGAGGATCCTCTGCTTCCGGACCTTGGTTGACTGCTGGTAACAAACCATGGAAAGTGAAATCACAGATAAACGGGACTACTGTACAGAAAACAACAGAAATTTATTCTTTCAACAAATGTCTGCCATATATATGCTACTTTAGTTTAGGTTTTGGGAATATAGCTGTGAATCTAAGATAAGTTCCTGCACTCCTGGAGCTAGGATTCAAATTGACAAACAAGAGATAGATAATAAACAAGTAAAAAAATGAGAATGATGATGGTTAAAAGTGCTATGGACATAAAGCAGGTTAAGAGAGAGGGAATGGGGGTAGGTGATACACTATTTTAGGTGATAACTAAGGAAAGGACTCATGGATAAGTGATATTTAGGTAGGGAACTGAAGAAATAAGGAAGCAAGCCATAAACAAGTCAAAGGAGCAAAAAGTGCAATGGCCTGAGGGAGGAGCATGACTGGAGTGTTCAGAAACAGCAGGTAGATGAAAGATGCAGTCAGAAAAGTATTAGGAGCTAGATCTTGTAGAGCCTTTGGTTCTATAAAGACTTTGACTCTGAAAGGGGTGGAAGACACCTGGAGGGTGTTGAACAAAGGAATGACATGGTATATCTTGTTGTTTTGAAAGTTATGTTTTGAAAGAAGTAAACCACTTGTGAGAGCAGGCAAAGGCATTACCACAGTAATCCAGGTGAGAGGTGGTAGTGACTTAGGTGTTCCAATTGTAGAGACATTTGAAGGTAGGTTGTGGTATATTGGGTGTGGGGTACAAGAGCACCTGGAAGGATAGTTACCATCTACTGAAATGGGGAAAATAGCAGGAGGATCAGGTTGTGTTTATGTGTTTGCGGGATCGTTGAACAGTAGGATAAGAATTCAGAGAAAGATTGAGGCTAGAGATAAAATTTGGTACTTAAATTTGGTAGATGGTATTTAAAGCCTGAGTGAAATCACCTTGGGGGTATATAGAAAGAACTGAACTCTAGAGAATTCATGAAATGATGAGTTCTAGATGGGAAATGTAAGAATTAGCACAGATGCCAGGAGTGGCCAGGAGGCTAGGTTGAGAAACAGGAGTGAGGACAGACTATGAGGGATTAGAAGGCATGTGATGAGAGGTAACAGGAATCTACAGCTTCTTCTGGTGACTGATACAAACGAGGATAAAGGGCAATGAGTCCTGGAAATGGCATGGAACTACTGTGTTTTTATGGCAGAGGTTGGATGCCTTCAAGGATGCCCAGGGAGAAGTTGGTAGATCTGTGTCCACTGTTTCACCATGCACAGTTGCTCTCTAATATTTTACTCAAAGGCAAGAGGGCACTTTCAAAACAAGTTTCCTTTTTATTTCAAATGAAGAGGCTAAAAGTTACTAGTAGGAACGTTCCATTGATATTAAAATTGATGGAACACATTATAGCAGTGGCTCTCAACTTCGACTGAACTTTCAGAAGTACTGATACCTGGATCCCAACTCCAGATCTATCTAAGGTGTGGCCTGAGCAGTTGGGGCTTTTAAAGAGCTCTTTAGCGGGCGCCTGGGTGGCTCAGATGGTTAAGTGTCTGCCTCCGGCTCAGGTCATGATCCCAGGGTCCTGGGATCGAGTCCCGCATTGGGCTCTCTGCTCCTTGGGAGCCTGCTTCTCCCTCT